AAGTCAGTTGGGGGCATAGGATCCCAGCAAGATAAGCATCCAATTTACTCTTGAAGGTGTTCAATGTAGGTGCTTGAACCACCTCCAATGGCGGGCTATTCCAGACCTTGGGGGCTCGGACAGTAAAGAAATTCTTCCTTATGTCCAGCCTGAAATGGTCTTGCAGTAGTTTATAACTGTTCGACCTCGTCATCCCTTGGGGCGCTCTAGTAAACAAACGTTCCCCCAGAGACTGATGGTCACCCTTGATAAACTTATAGGTGGCCATGAGATCACCCCAGAGTCTGTGCTTTTCCAGGCTAAAGAGCCTCATAGATCTCAGCCTGTCGTCGTAAGGTCTGTTTTCCTGACCTCTGATCATGCACGTGGCTCTTCTCTGAACTCTCTCAAGCTTCTCCACATCCTTTTGGAATTGTGGGGCCCAAAACTGGATGCAGTACTCCAGCTGCGGCCTCACCAAGGCTGAGTACAAGGGGAGAATGACATCCCGGGATTTGCTTGAGAAGCATCTATGAGTGCAAGCCAGCATTTGTTGCTTTACTAGCCGCAGCATCGCACTGCAGGCTCATGTTCATCTTGTGGTCAATGATGACCCCCAAGTCTCTTTCTTCCATAGCCCTCCTATCTTCAGGTGTGGATGCTTTGCCCCAAAGTTTGGTGTCATCGGCGAACTTGGCCAGTCCACTTTTGACTCCAATGTCCACATCATTAATGAAGATGTTGAACAATATGGGTCCAAGGACAGAGCCTTGGGGGACCCCACTGGTCACAGGGCACCATGACGATTGACTTCCATCAATTACCACTCTCTGGGTCTGACCGCAGAGCCAATTTCCCAGCCAGTGGATCATGGTGGACCCAAGGCCACAACTGGCCAGTTTTGCCAAGAGGTGATCATGGGATACCAGATCGAAGGCTTTTTTGAAGTCAAGATATATGACATCAATCTCTTCTCCCTTGTCCAGGTGATAGGTCACCTAGTCATAAAAGGAAATGAGATTGGTCAAGCAAGACCTACCCGCTACAAACCCGTGCTGGCTATCCCTCAGGATGTTGGCGTCAGCCAGTCTGTTAAGAATGGCCTCTTTAATACACTTTTCTAAGATCTTCCCCAGGATAGAAGTCAGGCTGTTGGGCCTATAGTTTGCCGGATCCACTTTCCTCCCTTTCTTGAAGATAGGCACCACATTGGCCTTCTTCCAGTCTTCAGGCACTATACCATATAGTGTAACTTTGATCATTCCTTCCTTCAATATCAATACTAAAACCTTACATAGTGTTGAAATGAAGCAAGTGGGTTTTTAGTTGCCCAGGTCCCTCTTTCTCCCTTTAAAAAAAAAAAAAATAGATGCTACCTTTTGTATTCTCCAGTCATAGATTCCTATCTGAATTGACTTATTCAGTGAAGATCCATGCAAGAGATCTTCATGCCAATTTTTTCAGTGTTTCAACTCCATTCCAGATATGTTAATTTATATAATCATGTCTCCAATGCCAGGTAGTACTTGACCATTGTTCTCAGTTTTATCTTCATCCTTAGTGAAGACTAAGGTGAAGTATTTATTCAGCTCTTGGGCTGCACCTAAGTTGTCTTCAGTATATCATGGTCCTACTTCTTTCCTCCTGGTTCTTTTTAATTTATATGACCAAAAGACTTTTACTACTGGTTTTAGTATGCTATTCAAGATCTAACTCACCTCAGCCTTTGGCCATTCTTGCTTTCTTTGTAAGCTCTTGGACCAGAGACAAATTTCCCTCCTATTGATTTGGTTCATTTTTCCATTGCTGTAGTTCTTTGCTTATCCTTAACTGCCTATTTGAAATACTTGTTCATCCATGCAGGTTTACAGATCATTTCAGCATTTTTCTTCCTATTGCTTGGGATGTGAAGTCGATTTTTTATGTGCATTACAGACATAAAAATGAAGTGATCAATTACTACTATATAGTATAAATAAGGTGTAATTTAAATAATTAAATAAAACAATGTATATTTATTCACACAAGATATGTCCCCTGAATAAAGCACATCTCTTGGTTTGAGAAGACAGAATGAAGGAAAAAAGACTTCCTTGAAAAGAAAGTGGGAGAGCAGGCAGAGTCTTACTTGCCACTGGGCTGCAGGCTCAGGCCATGAAGGATTGGGAGCAGAGTCCCTCATCACCCACACAGTTTACCCCTTTCACAACTGCAGCCTAATTTTATGCAGACCAACACTGTAACAACTGCAGCCTAATTTTATGCAGACCAACAGTTTAAAAATTCACCAGGGAGAAAGGGTTAGACCAGTAGCTGGTGGCTGGGTAGCTAGGTGTGAGGAGAAAGGGGAGCGAGGCTGAGGAAGGGAATCCTGTACCCGCTTCATGCAGCCTCAGCCTCCAGCCCTTCTGGAAATCAGTTTCCTCATTGAAGACACAGGCCCCAATTTTCTATGGCTAATTTTTTGGGGAAGGGTTCACGTGGTATGCAAATGAAATTAATTGCTATAAAGTATTGTCTGGGGCTCTCTGATTAGACTATCTCTAGTCAAGCCCAATCATAGGAACTGTTGTTTGAAGAAAAGTTTGCTGAGCTCCTGAAGGAACATTTATTACAAATTCGTAAGACACTTATATTGTGTACTACAGTGTAGCGGAGAATAAATGGTTAAAAGTAAGGAGGTGATTCAGTTCCTTCTGTTTAAGTCCTCACAGATCAAAAATAGCAAAGGTTGGGTCAACATTGTTTCAGTTAGTGGACACACAGGAAGGAGTGCCTCCTGGCTGATAGGAACTGCATTCCGTGAAATCTGTGCCTCTGATAAAAGAACCTACTCTGCATGAGACTGGTTTCTACTCAGGTCTAATAATAACTTTTGTAGCTGCTATCTTCATCCCCCCTCTCTAAAATGTGAGGAAAGAAACGTTTGCGTTTGAATCTGTGGGCAGATGTCCAGTTATTTTTGAAGAAAACTGGAACCTGTCTAACACTGCCCTCAACAAAATATTAACCTTGATTTAAACTTGGTCAAGATTTATGTCTGAGGTCAAGTAACAATATTTGCAGAATAACAGACTGTGTAACAGACAGCATGTCTTGCTTATTAGGAACAGAGACATCTATTTGGTTGGTGAGGGACAGATACAATTATGAAGGCATTTGATATGAAAGTCTAGGTTGGAACTTGGTAACTCTAGCCTCCCCGAGAGAAAAACATAAATGTTAAAACAGATATTTTCTATAAATATTTTTAAAATAGTATTTTTAAGTACGTAGTTTAGACTTGCACTGCTAGTCATACAAAATGTGCTGCTAGGAAGGTAATGTTTAAAACACTCTGCTTCTCTTTGCAGGATCTTTGAAATAACCAGCCTCCCAAACTACCATATTTACTTGAATCTAAGATGACCCTGAATTTTAGATGACCCCCCCATAATTAGATTTTATATATGGAAAATATATAAATTTGTTACAATTTTCCAGGTATACAATCTGAATATCAAAGGGTTGTCCTGAATTCTGTTCTGCCCCCTCCCTTCCTCCCCCCCCAAACCAGGGCAAGCAGTGGTGGTGGTTCAGCTGGCACTCTTGCCCTCATTTTTCCCCCTGTAGCCTTCCAGCCCCCTGCACCACCTCCACCCTCTGCTCCGCACAGCCTCTGCTGTAGCCACCACCTGCCCCCCCCTCACCCCACTTTGAACATGAATCTAAGACAAGAGACCTTCCCCCCTCCATGCTGATTAGGGTGGGAAAAAATCCCATGTTAGATTTCAGTAAATATACTATCTGCTACCAGCTGCTGCACAAGATAATAGAATGCCAATGGGTAAACCCGCCCCCCCCCGCAAAAAACCCATAAAAATGAAAACAGGTCAGATGCTTCTAAGACTAGACGGTGGTTTGCAAAAAAAATCTGATTCTGCCTCCTACAGGCTTATAACTGCATTTTTCAAGGGTTTTTTTTTTTATGTGAAGTTGTGTAGAATCCAGCCGTTCTTAGAAGACACTTGTCTAGAAAATAGCCTCTATATCTGAACCTAATTATTAGCAATCTTAGAAGTTGTCTGTTGTGTTTGGGACTGAGCAGCTTAAGACAGTTGCACGATACCTTTGCCTTGATAACAGACAGGCATTACAGATTATTTAGCTCACTGAAAGCCTTATCAAAGCCCATGTTTTAAGAGATCTTTAATCTGAGGAAATTTATTCTGGCATTTTTAGTTATAGCCTAATTTTCCTTATCATAGAATAATGGATAAGATGTGCAAAAGACCTGATAATCACCAACTGTGCTCTTACTCAACTCTTCAAGGGCTTTCTATAACTCTAGCATGTATAACTATTAGTAAACCTGTACTGTTGCCTAATCTATACATTTTGCTTTCATGTGGTTCTGCTCTGAAAAGTGCATATGTAAAAGGCAATTTCATATCCAACAGATCTGATTCTTGTTTATGCTCACAAACACAGCTTTTACTTCAGTGGCAAACGTTTCCACTACTTGAAGCCTGAAAACAGCTAAGAGGAGAATAGTTACCTGCTGTTCCTTCCTAAGTAGGCAAGTCATCAGAGTTGTTTACTAAGTAGAAATCACAGGGCTAGATTCCCTTCTCATTGGAAATTTGTGGAACCCAGTCTGCACAATTGTCACTTAGAACATAATATAAAGACAGTGGAGTTGCATCTGTGTAAGAGAGCAGAACTAAATCTGCAGATGCTTTATTACATGGATGTCTGAGAAGTAGAATTTTCAGGTTCTGGGAAAAAAAGCTTTGAAAAAGAATTGTGGGTTAATCCTATTTTAAAATGACCAGGTTTCACTACTCATAAACCATTCAACTTGTTTAAATTAATTTGCTTCTGAAAGCTTGACACAGAAGTTTGAAATATGGTTTTAAAATGTGGTGTTTCAAGATATGTTTGATAAAAAGAAAATGTTCAATTCTCTATCATTATTCTGCAGTGCAGCACATACTTCATTTAAGTATTTTCTTCTTTTTCCCCTTCCCCATTGAAAACAGTGGAGATTTCAGATTCTGTTCCATCCACCCCACTTGCAAAAGAGGTTACCAAGAGATTTTCTACCCCCGACGCTAACCCTGTCTCAACAGAACCAGCCTGGCTGGCCCTAGCCAAGAGGAAAGCAAAAGCTTGGAGTGACTGTCCACAGATCATTAAGTAAACTATAGTCTTTCTGGTCTTTACTGTTGATTCTTGTTTTCTCCTTTTATTTATTCAGCTTTTTACATATGACAAAACTAAAATGCATGTCCCAGAGGACTGAAAACTGAACTACTCACTATCTCTCCTCTCTAGCTTACTGTAAGGTTTACACACATCATAGGTCCCATCACTTTGAAAAAACAGGTAAAGAGCCAGCTGAGGCACAAAGTTGAGAGCCAGTCTCTCTCAAAATACAGGAATAGTTCAGCTGTTGGACATAATCTCTAGTCTAGTACGCTCCTTACATTTTGTGAATGTTGGTTCAGGAGTTTGGGATCTCTACTCTTAGTGTAGAGATCTCAGAAAAGTCTGCCTGTTCCAGCACTGAAAAGGCATGAAAGATGCATGTTCCCTCCTCTTCATCCTAATGCTTACTTTGTTTTAGAAATCAAGGTTTGATGCAGTTTACTTGCAATTTGAAAATCTCTGCCCAACTGAAGGTTTTAGGAGATGTCTTTCCATCTGTGGAAGAAGTGCAAGCTGTGGTGATATTACCCAAACCCTGATGCAATGGTGTTATTCATGCTAGGCATGCAAGTTACTGTAACTCATTTGTCAAACCCCGCCCCCCAGTAAACCATTTACCCATCATTCTAGTTAAATATATGAATATACCATAACCAAACAGAAAAAGGATGACAGAAACAGAAAGTGATGTACTAGGAATATCAAGTGGTTTTCCTAGTTAACACAGAAGCAATGACACTTATTGAGCACTGATCGTGGTCAGGCCTATCCAAGACACATGCAGATACCATCCCTGCTCTGAAGCACTTGCAGCGTAGAGTCCTGATACTACAGATACTTGTGCATGTGCAGTTTTATATATAAAAGGAATCTGAGTTCCTTAAGACCAACTTTGTAAATGAGAGTGTCCTCTAAGATGTTAATGTTTGTAGGATTCTAGTGTAAGTGACTGAAAACAGAAGACCAAGTCATTGGCATCTTAAGGGGAAGATGGTATGTTAGAATGTATTTAAATCTACTTTCTTGAACTGAGAATCAGGAGGGGTTTTTACTTTCTAATTCCTGAAGGCCTTACTCCCTCTGTGACCTTAGGTAGTTCAGTTAGATTCTGAACTGAGCTTTGAAACTGAGTGGGGAAAAAGTGATATATTCCTATCCCACATATCAATTATTGCAGCTGAATGTTTCTTTCAGAATGTATCTCCTTGTAGCTAAAAGGAAATGCCCTTTATCTTCTTCGTAACAGGAACTATAAAAATTTTAGTATCCTTAAGTTTTCCCATAGGAAAACTGATGCCTTATTTTTTTCTAAAGAATGGTTTTTACACACAAGTACATCCTAAACAAACTCAAATTTGAACTTTCTAAAAATCCTGCATACATTTATAGCTCAAAGGAACTTTAAGTCTACAGCATAATAAGAGGAGGTATTTTAGTGGAGAGGGGACATTATATTATTATGGAATGATATACCAGATATGACTTTTCATAGTAACACTTCAGCTAAATTGCATGGGGGAGAAGCACTCTAAATAATGTGAAAGAGAGTTGAGCCCTGTTCCAAGAACTGACTAGCAAACGTTATTGAATAAACTGTATCCTATGTAGGAAACAAAGGTCCAGGAACATGGTTACAGGAGCACAAACATAAGGGACACATCAGATTCAGGAGATGTGGAGCTGCAGACAGGTTTGTTCTTGTGGCTCTTGGGCAGTTGGTAGTCAGCTCAGTTTCATATTTAAACTAAACCTTTAACATGCCTATCGTTGTTTCCAGTACTAAGTATTTTAAATAGTTTAAGTATAAATGGGCAAGTGCTACTCTCAGATATTTGAACACAGCTCCTACAGACTTTAGTAGGATCTCTGTGTGATTATCTGAAGAAGGAGTTTGGTTCATCATTATTTGTATTTTAATAGTTCCATAAAGTAGCCATTCTTAATGAACATTTATAGCACACCTGGACTTAAATGCCTGCAATATAGTTTAGTAACTAAAACTCTGAACTGTCTGAAACCCATGTTCAGGATTCTGGATGCAGGAAAGGCTGTGTTTTGGTGGGGAGAGGGGGGGATGGGGGGATT